TGTAAATATGCTTTAATAAATAAATATAAGTTATAGAGTTTCATACTATAAAGTATCGCGTCTACTATTTTGACGTTTAACAGAAATATATTGTTTTATCTCTATTCATCCCGTGGGTATCGTAAGAGCACCGACTAAGGGAGCAAACTATGCATGATAACAGCACTGCAAAAGGAAACATTAAAAATAAACCCTTTTTTTTTTTTTTTAACGTGTGGAAATCCCCTCGGACCGTCACCCCTCCGGGGTTTGCGGCGGGGTGGTGTGTCGGACTCGGACCGACTAAAACCACACGGTGTGCCACTCTGCGCCTGTAACAGGAGGGATCCGAGAACAGCTGTTGTTAAGACATCCGGACCCCTCCTAGCGCCAGCCCGCTCCTGGTGCGGGCTCCGTCTCAATATATTTTCCTCTCTTTAGGCGACGTCCGGCACACGCGGACGCCGCCCCCTCGCGGCTGGCCAAACTAAGGCTAAATAAACCCTATACCAACACGTCTGGCTAGTGTGGTGTAGTAGGCCAAAACTTCCTTTCTCAGGAGACGCCATTGTCTAGCAGTGGACTATTAAAGTCCGTTGATGATGATGATACTGTTTTGAAGTGACAGTCATCAAGTAAAACTCTGCATAGAATTTCTAGAAGTCTATAACAAATTGACTTGTAAAATTATAAAGTGACAAGTGAAGCCAATAAAGAACAGAAAGAAAGAGAAAAAGAATGTAGATACACAAAAATGTGCTGTATAAAGTATAATAATAAAGTAAATCTTACCTGGTATTTTCAAAGCATATTTTTTCTGAAGAAAACTTGACTCAACAAAAACTGTTTTAAGAATTTAATAGCGTAACGTTATTAATGTGTCACTGAATTTTCAACTCAAACAATATATAAGATTAAATAGTTTTCAAATTAGCTTAAATCTTATACCTACACGTATTATTTAGATTTAACCTCTACGTAGGTCTTTTGTATCAGCGGGACTACAGTTTACATTCACAATGTTGTGACTGGGGGACCCAAGGTATAATGTACCTATTCTGCAACTTTTTAATGTTTTTTTTTACTTTCGGCTGTCAGGTAGACTTGTCAATGCTTGAGTGATATCCCTCGTTTTAAGACTGTATAATGCAAGATGTTCAAAGTATATTAGCAGGTATTCTCATTAACATCTCCAGCTAAGCTAAATGTATGCAATAAGTTTATGTTATAAGCCCGTTGGGTTAATTCTTAAAACTTATTTTTAATCTACACGTGATATTTTACCTTAAAATTTAAGTAAACGTGTTTTTTTTTCAGAAAGTGCGACTGAAGTGTAATCGGATGAGACGGGACGACGGTTGTTTGCTTGTTCGCTCTCCCGATTATAAATAGCAGTACAACACCGAATTGGTTTAGTCGTTAGATTCCCACAGACCTCTTTGCAAAGTAAAAGAAAAAGAAAATTTTCATGGTGTGTACCTACGTCCAACCCGTCACTCCAAAACGCAATCCTGTCTTTTATTTGACGGGCCTGTTGGTAAAGAGGTTAGTAGCCCTGACTGATAAGATGGAGGTCGCGGGTTCGATTCCCACCAAGGACAAATATTGTGTGATGGGCACGATCATTTAACCTGTCTGGGTGTAATCTTTGTATTCTACGTATATGTATTTAGAAATATTTAAGTATGTTTATCAGTAGTTTGGTTACCATAGTACAGGTTTTGTCTAGTTTGGGATCAGACGGTCGTGTGTAAGATGTGTTAAGTTATTATTAGTACATTTATAGCTTCGATAAATTGCAAACGAACGGTCAGAATAACCCTTCGATCACGTCCCCTCGTCATTTGCACGATACAGCATTATTATATGTATCCTAGTATGTCGTAATAATGTAATCGTTTGCATTGGACACACTTCAATGTCGTAGTGATGTAGTAGTAGCATTAGACGAGCTGTTTAATGCAGTCTCGACTACTTCTATAGTCACACATCCTCTCTCCCTCCTAACAGTGGCAATACCGTTTACCCTGCCTCTAGAATTGGGCTATCAAATTCAAACAACTTTTATTCTAATCGGGAGTTCTAGAGCGTAAAAGTAGGAAGTCTTCTGTTTTGTTATATTACAAAAGTAGGATAATGGGCACAGACGGTTACTAGGGAGACACCTCCTGCTAAAGGCGGTAGACACTAAGAAATAGTTTTTTTCTTTTTTTAATATAAAATAGTCTAATATTCTTTAATAGTCCACTGCTGCACATAGGCCTCTCCTTACAAAGGAACCTTAACCATCGCTGATTATGTACAATTAAGGAATTGTTTACAGTGTATGTGAATACTTACATACATTACATTAGGTACATTACTTACAGATGTCAACCATCTAGGATTAATATTACGTAAGTGTACTTCTTTACTTTCATTTTCTAATCTAATACCTCCGAAGGTTGAGGCTAGTGCGTGTACACAAAAATGCAGTTGCTACAACTGCAGCTGTAGTTGAGATTACTCTATAAGTTGTAATAATAAACCAGGGATGTCCAGTCAATGGCACTATACGGTACGGCTTTGGAGAGACGGTCTAGTGGCAGCACGGGATCCTTTCCTTCCGACTGACGCAGGTCTTTGTTGGGCTCGTCTGCTTAGAGAAGTACCAGCAGTCGATCGCTAGGAGTGGATTGAGTTGCGCCTGTTACCACTGCAGTGCACCGTAGCGTCGGGCGCTCATTGCAGTCATCGCATTTAATTTGTTCCTTGTTCTTTCATGAGCCTCGGAGGGCGCCACCTGAGGGATACAGTCTCATTTTAGGAGGCACTCGCGTTGACATTGAGCTCTCAATGAGGTATTAGGCTCGCGCTGGGTCGGTATTGTGGAATTCGAGAGATCCAAGATCAGAAATCCCAACTTTGCAGGGCCCTCATGGAGAAGTGGAGGTAAAGACTATGACAATCAGGCGCCGGGCACGCTATTATAGCGGCGGTAAGACCCGTTCTCTATCCAGATTGCGGCCATGGTACGAGCGAGCGATGGTACGTATGACTAGACCACCTCCTTCTGCGAGCAAGTCATGCTCGAGAAGAAGAGAGTGGAGCGGGGCCTGAAGAGGATTAGTACTCTCTTGGCCCATTAGGCCCGAGAACGAGCCAGGTACTGCAGTGCAGGCGGCTCAGGCGGCAGAGGTCGCTAAATAACTTCCATCCTGCATAAGTGCAGGCCTGGGGGTGAAAGGTGAGGCCATCTGTCACCAAAACAAGAAATTCCCGGACGTCTTAATAAAAGCTTCGTTCGATTCTGATTTACCGCCCCACCGCAAATTTCCACACCTAAAAAAAATAAATGTCACCATGACATTGACAACTATAATTTGGAATCTTCCCTATCGCACAATTAGTAACGTCAATTAGTAGCTATCAATAATACATTATGGGCCCTACAACAGCGCAAGGGGGAGGGGGGGGATGAGTTTTCCTAGGGCGCTCTTGATACTTAATCCGCCTCTGATGTCATAAGATTACGTTTACGTTGTAAGTATTTCCCCTTTAGACGCAGTATAGCATACCCTGTGTCGCTTAGTTACTAAAATCTTGGCACACCACCCTACTGAACACCACGGTGTTTTTACTTCGGTTTTCATGCAAAATAAAAGGTGTGAGATAACTTCGAAAGTGGATAGGGATTCGAACCCATTAACTACTTGCCAACAAGTCCAAAGTCATAACTGTTAAGCAAGTTTAACCACAAGCAGAAACTAATATTAATTGTATAATGGGAGATAACTAAAATATCTATACTAATATTATAAAGCTGAAGAGTTTGTTTGTTTGTTTGAACGCGCTAATCTCAGGAACTACTGGTCCGATTTGAAAAATTCTTTCAGTGTTAGATAGCCCATTTATCGAGGAAGGCTATAGGCTATATATCATCACGCTAAGACCAATAGGAGCGGAGCACCAATGAAGAATGTTTCAAAAACGGAGAAAATTTATTCCTATTGAGAGACGCAGACGAAGTTGCGCGGGTCAGCTAGTATTAAATAAAATACATTAGTTCTGTTATTTCCCTCAGTGCATCCGTGGTGCGTAGTTATTTACTGTCGTTACGCATATTTACTTGTTATTAAAAGTTTAATAGTGTTGTCTTTGTAATACTTTTGTTTTTAGCAAACGCTACAATTTAATTGTTTTTAAATAATAATTTAAATTACAAAAACTATAGCAAATAGTGTGTTAAATCACAAAAGTGGAACTATTTACTAAATTTTACATTTCTAAAGTTATAGTAAGTAGAAAATAGCAAAAAAATGCTACGAAAGTCATTTTCTAAAAAAACTTTTTTGTGAATTGATACTGGGATTGACATACTTAAGTGAATAACTTTACAAACTCTACGTAAAGTTCTCAACAAAACGATGTTTCTCTATTCTGGAACAAAGACTCTTAAGCTCTTGGAAGATAATTCAGTTTTTTTTTTGTAAATAGACAACTCCCGCATTGGGAATGTATCCTGTGTCACGGGGGACTTTACAAACATACATGAAACGGACACAAAGAACACCCAGACTCAGAACAACAATTTGTGGTTCAAACAAAGTGTCGTCCCATGTGGGGATCGGACCTTCAACACTCGGCGTAGTAGTTAGCGACGTGGCGACCGCTTAAACCACTACGCCATCCGTGCAGTCAATCCCTTGTCACATCTTTGCGTAATTCTTATGTATTTACATAGTCATATAAAAAAAAACACAAGATTCATTTGCTCCAAAAATTTACCATCACTCTATCTCCATCTCACTTTGTCAGTAAGAGAACACAGAGTGAGAAAGCCACCAGTTTTATAAACCGTATTAGGTTTTTCTATTATTGCTTTATAATGTTATTGTTTCATTAAAACAATACTTTCCATTTCAGGTTTGATAGTTTCTAAAAAAAATAACATGGATTTGAGCACAGCTATTTGTTTAATATTGAATTTTGTCATAAATTTTTCGACTTCAACTTATGTGTTTCATGAAAATACAAAAATAATGTTTACATCTGGATATAACAGAGAGGAATATTTTGGATATTCGACTTTATTAAGTGAAGATGGGTAATGTATATTATTTTTATTTATTTTTAATTTATATAAGTTTGAATTTTAATCGTTTCGTTCGTTTGTCTTTGATGTGCATAAACTTACAAATGACACGACACTATATTGATTAAGTATTTTTTTTAAACGTTATATTATTATTATTTTTGTTTTGTTCGATAAACTTCGTAAAACAAACATCGGGTTCAATTGAAACATGTCATATTTTTTTAATAAATACAGCAAACAAGCTTAGAAGTTGATTAAGTTTTACCTAAATGCTGCAAATCCAAAAAGAGAGGTTTATTAAAAATATTGTATGACAATATAAGTTTGGTGAGACAAAGTTACAATATGATATAATATTACGATTACTATATAATACTATTTAAGGTGGTGAATAGAGGTGTAAACTTTTCTTACCAAAAATTGTGGTCAGACCACATTTCTATTGGTATAAATTCATCAATTTTCATTTATCATCAACAGCCTATACTAGTCCACTGCTGGACATAGGCCTCTCCTTAGAAAGGAGGTTTTGGCCTACTACTACAACTTGGCCTACTACAATTTTCAATTATAATCGTGATATAAAAAAATTGTCGGTGCCTAAAAGAAAAGGACAAAATTTCTAACGTAAAAAAAACATAATTTTTATATCACTGTGTAAATCATCGTGACATCGATATAAAGTACACAATTGGACAAACAATACCACGTTCCCGTATATTTAGAGGTCTGAATGAAATGTTTGCATTTCAGATTTAATATTATTATAATAGGATAGGAGTTAGATTCGAATCCGACATAAACAGCCCACCGGTGGGTGATATCCGCGGGACTTTCCGCACAGGAATAAAAAAGGGTAGGAGTTAGGCAGTTGGATTAAGGGCTTGATGCAGAAAGCAGTTCTTCTCGATACGGCATGTATTGTGAGGAGGTTTCTGTCTCTGGAGTCCTAACCACCGATATCTTGGTCCCTGTACCCGATACCGATGGGACACTATTTTTTAATATTTTTAAATGTTTTTTTTTTTTTACAAAAATATATTTTAAAATGTAATTTAAATGTATATTTAATGTAATAAAGAAAGTAATAATGCAACATAACCTCATAAACGGCCGTCTGATCCTAAACTAGGCAGAGCCTGTGCTTTGGTAACCAGACTGCTTATAAACATACGTATATCTCTCTAAATACATACATATCGTAGATAAATTACACTCCAATACAGAACAAATGACCATGCTCATCACACAACTATTTGTCCTGAGTGGGAATCGAATCCACGAACTGCGGCTTTGCAGTCAGGGTCACAAACCACTCGACCAACAGGCCGGTCATTGTTTCATGGTTCTTTATTCAAACTCAAAAATATCCCAAAGTTTTACAGTGTAATCAGTGGGGAAGTACCGTCACGCTGTTAATGATGCAATTCCTCTAAGTAACGTTTTATAATCTATACAAATAATTAAAATTGGAGTGTCTGTTTGCAATATTAAAATAACCGCTTTTTACTAAATGCATATGTATGTTTACACGGTACATATGCCAAAATAACATTTTTTACAATTTTTGTCTGTCTGTCCGTCTGTCTATCTGTCTGTCTGTCTGTCTGTTTGTTCCGGGTAATCTCTGGAACGGCTGGACCGATTTCGACGGGACTTTTACTGGCAGATAGCTGATGACATAAGGAGTAACTTAGGCTACATTTTTTATACTAGCTTCGCCCCGCGGCGTTGCCCGCGGTTATAACAACAAACGCGGGTAACACCGCGGGTCTCAGCTAGTCAGTAATATGTTTGCAGTCGTTATATTGTAACTTTACTGTAACGGGACTTTACCGTCATTGAGCCCATCTTTCACGTAGCAACTCTGTTAATGCTTAATTAGGCGGATTGGGCCTGAAATTTGTTTTTAAAACTATTAGTGGGTATATAGTTACCAAGCAACACAAACGTAAAATGTGTTGTATTAAATATGTATCCATTAACCGTTCAATTTGTCAGACTTTTGTGCGTCATTACACGTGTATATACTATACACAAATACAAATATTTCGTATATTTATGTAATTTTTAGACGTTTATAGCGTATTAGCCATTGCCAGGCGTATTGCTCCACATCACATCAACAACCTTTAATAGTCCACTGCTGGACACAGGCCTCTATTTAGAAAAGAGGTTTTGGCCTACTATACCACGCTAGCCAGATGGGTTGTGATGGCCAGAACCGACTAAGGAAGCGAACAACTTTCCTACGTTGTTCGCTTCCTTAGTCGGCTCTTACGACACCCACGGAATGAACAGGGGAGGGAGTACTCTCCAAGCGGGTCCGGGAGAGGTTTAGGACTCTCCCGGCCCGCCAGGCCCGGGAACGGGCCAGGTACCGCAGGCGCCGGAGGTCGCAGAACGACCTCCGTCCTCCATAAGCGCAGGCCTGGGGGTGACAGGTGAGGCCATCTGTCACCCTAGCAGAAGCAGGCCGGGGTGGCGGCAAGCGCGTTGCGAAGCGCGCTCGCTTCCAGGGAGCAGAGGGAACATCGGGTTCCCACACTGAGTCGTCTACCTGTTTTTGTAGATGGCCCGAGGTATGTCGGGGCACCAGGGACTTCCTTTCTAGGGTATACCTGGTTCCCCGGCTATTATTACCCGAGACGCCGTGCGGTTTTAGTCGGTTCGAGTACGACATGCCACCGACAGGTGGTATCCGAGGGGATTTCCGCACGGAAAAAAAAAAAAGAGAAAAGGGGGTACTCTCCAGGTGGTACTCCGTATTCTTAATCCGTCCCCGTATTTCGTGTTTCTAAATTTGAAAATGATGTACTGTAATAATGTCCATACAGAAGTTTATTACTTATTTTACTAATTAGGTACCCCTAAGGACGTTTTTATTTTTATTTTCATCAATCATCATCATCATCAACAGCCTGTAATAGTCCACTGCTGGACATAGGCCTCTCCTTAGAAAGAAGGTTTTGGCCTATTATACCACGCTGGCCAGACGGGTTTGTTTCAAGTTTTCCTTCTCTTTGCAGTGCTGTTGTCCTGCGTAGTTCGCTCCCTTAGTCGGCTCTTACGACACCCACGGGATGAATAGGGTGGTAACACTTCGTATTCTTAATCCGTCACCACACGGACAATTTTTTTATTTTACCAAATAAAAAAAAAACGTCCTTAGTGATTGCTAAGAACATAAAAGGCATCGGCATTAAAAATCCAAATTTCTAGATTTTTCTAACTGCCTAGATTGAATTGAGTTTTGATAATTTTGCATAAAACATCTATTGAAATATCCATTTATTAATGCCCACAGGAAGTTTTCTATGACATCACATTTATACACGACTAGATTAGGTACCTACATTTGTTATCCAGTAGTAGGAAATTGTGATTCTATGTTTTATAAAAATTAATGGAAAATTCCTAGTATAAGATGTGCACTGGCAAAAAAAAATGGGCACTAAATAATATCTAAATACATAATAATATTTCGGTTTTAAACTAAACAGAGCTTTTACTATTAAAGCTAGATTGATTGATAGAATACTTATATACTTTTCTTTTCTGTATGTACACACGTATTATACATAGGAAAAACCGAAACAAATATTTGCAGATCATACAAACATTTCGTCCAACTCGGGAATCGAACCCAAGACATCCTTGGGTTGGATTCCCAAGTTCGGGTCCGGGTCGGTCCAAATGTTTGTATGAGCACAGCAGTCGAAATACCGCATGTGACTGGATTTTTCTCCCTTAGGGTACTTTACACAACTTTATTTATTTATACAACAAATAGCTGAGACCTGCGGTGTTACCCGCGTTTGTTGTTATAACCGCGGGCAACGCCGCGGGGTGAAGCTAGTCTAAAAAAAGTAGCCTAAGTTACTCCTTATGTCATCAGCTATCTGCCAGTGAAAGTCCCGTCGAAATCGGTACAGCCGTTCCAGAGATTACCCGGAACAAACAGACAGACAGACAGACAAATTTAAAAAAAATGTTATTTTGGCATATGTACCGTGTAAACATACATATGCATTTAGTAAAAAGCGGTTATTTTAATATTACAAACAGACCCTCCAATTTTATTTATTTGTATAGAATAGAGGGTATCTGACGCAACAATCAAAAGAGCTAGTGCCTAATGCCTGCTTAAAATACTTTGACCAATAAAGAGTTCTGATTCAAACATGAAATGATATCCATTTCTGTAAGTAAATCTTTTCAGATATTTTTACAAGTCGGACTTTACAGATAGATTTTCGGCATTTTCTAAGACTCACTCTGGGAAGAAACGCCACACACCACAGAGGTGTTTTTTTTAGACCATAACAAAGTTAAAGAAAACTGTGCAAGTACAATGTAGGGTCTGGGTAGGCCTTTCTTCAAAAGGACCATAGTTTTGAGTCGGCCTGTCCATACAGGCGGCATACAGCCATCGTGTAGCTTAACCGATATTAGTCAAGATCAACGACCCGAAGCGCGACACTACAGCCAGCAGGACATTTGAATAGGCCGAGGAAACCACCAGAAAGTTACTAAATATGACCTAACATTACAAGCCTACACTATACTCACATTTACATACTTACAAAAAAAAACTATACTATACAATTCAAGCTCAATGCAAAATAAACAAATTGAAAACAAAAGAAATACGAAATACAACAATACAATAAATGTCCATCACTTTCAAGCACAACAACAATGATAGGAAATGATAATAAAAGCGGGAGTGAGCAGCATCAATCTCAAGAGAATTTATCATCTAAATAATATTTTACCGTGTAGTAAGCCTTTTCACATAGTTTTTGTATAAAGGTATACCTCTGTCACGTAATATACTTACTTGTGACTAAATACCAGTGTTATTTTATTTTATATGGTTTGTTTCTTTCATGCCACGTTACTTCACGGTCCTATTAAGAGTTAATATTATTTAACGGGAATTAACGCGATCTCTTATTTAGGGTATTACATACCTCTGGTTTGCCTGACGTTTCGACCAGGTTGCA